GTACAGGTTGCAAATATATACGTGCGCCGCTTATATAATATATATATATATATATATAATATATCGAAATTATATAATATATATATATAATATATATATTATGACGGAGATGGGAAAGAAAATAAAATTCCAGGTATATATATATATATATATATATATGAGAGAGCCAATCGACAGTTATTTCGCGATGCCAGAATACGTGCAAAGGAGGCTGATTTCAAATACTGTTGGACAAGGAATGGTTCAATATAGTTCGCAAACGTACAGGTAAACCTGCTGTCTATATTGCTTCTTACGATGACCTGCTTTGCAAGTGCCCAGTCAACCTGCGGGCAAAAGAAACCGCTATCGCTACTGCCGATGAGTTTACAGCCAAACTCTACTAAGTCTGCTGTGCTTGTGCGGAATGCTTGTCGCGCATATGTATCATTGTGCTTTTGTTCAGTATGCTTTATGTTTTTACATGGGAAACTATTTAATATTATCAGAGTAATACTATTGCTAGAATTGTGTATGTATCTGATTTTTTAAATATTTGTAACCATAGCTTCATTATTAATTATCTAACAATACTATTGTAAGTGTAATGTTATAGTTACACACAACAACTTTACTGTACCGTTATTCTACTGCACTACCACAGGATATAATTTCTTATATACATAAAAAAAAAAAAAAAAAAAAAAAAAAAAAAAAAAAAATATTATATTTCAGTCATAAGTATAGGTTTCCAGCTTCTTTTATTATACTATGTGTCTTATATAGATATGGCATCCTACGACATCATACAAGAAATTGACGAAGCTATAGAAAAAGAAAGCCATACTTTAAAATCCCCGGACGAAAGCAAAACCATACTCGCAAAGTATAATACCAAAATTCTTACATTTAATATAAGGAGTCTACAGCGAAATTTTGACAATTTTTTAATACTCCTTACTCGGCTGGATACTAAATTTGATGCTATAATTCTTACCGAGTGTTGGTTAAATGAAAATTCGATTATCAAGGACATCATTGGATACACAGCCTTCAAAACATCGAAATATATAAACAAAGCAGGTGGCGTAGTTATTTACATTAGCAACATATTTTCAAAAGTAGTCGAAATCGATATTGAAGGAGCTGTTGGTAGCTATATCCAAACATTTATCAATACTTGGCATCTACCGCTCCCCGTCTGAAAGTTTTAGCAATTCAAATAGATTTCTGAGCTCTTTGGAGTCTAACTCAAGACTCTCGTTGTGGGTCCTTGTTTAGTTATCACTGGAGACATAAACATTGATATAGCTGATACATCCAAGACTTATGAACTATCTTCAGAGTATTTGTGCTTGATGGCCGAACTGGGACTTTCAAGTGCTGTTCATAACAAAACCTGTCTGGATCATTTTTTCATTCGTAACTATGGTGGCTATGAATCCATCATATGTTCTGCTGATATTACCGACCATAATCCTATCATGTTGGGAATGGATAACTCTTTACAAAAACCATCTTCTAATAAAAGACAAAGAGAAAAAAAAAACTAATTATGAGGCTGTAAAGACAGAGTTAGCTTGTGTGGATTGGACGGAGATTCTTAATAGTACTTCTGTAAATGAGGCCACTGATTTGTTCACGGATATATTCATGAAGATTGTAAAAAAAATAAAAAAAAAAAAAAAAAAAAAAAAAAAAAAAAAAAAAAAAAAAAAAAAAAAAAAAAAAAAAAAAAATATTTACTAATAATATTTGTTCTCACCTCGATGAAGGTCAGGCGTGTGTCGGAGTGTTCCTTGACTTGACAAAGGCATGTGACACTGTGTCAATTCCTATACTCTTGCGAAAATTGGAAGGTTTGGGAATTAGAGGCAAACCACTTTTGTGGTTTAATTCATACCTAACGAATAGAAAGCAGTGTATTAAAGTGCATGATCACACTAGTCATTTTGAGAATACTTGCTTTGGTGTACCACAGGGTAGTATCTTGGGTCCTACGCTCTTTCTTTGTTATATTAATGACTTACTATTAACCCCATTAATCAACGCAAAATTTACTTGTTATGCTGATGACACAGCTATTATATTCCATGGTAATAATTGGAACGAATGTTATTTGAACGTTGAGAGAGGTTTGGTTTTAGTTGCTACATGGTTAAACAAAAATTTACTGACAATAAATACTTTAAAAAACGAAATATGTATGCTTTTATAAAACTAAAGCTTCAAGGCCGTTCTCCGTTCCAGATATCAAGATACACATGTGTATGGCTATTACTCCTAGTGTTACAAATCCGATATACCATTCTAACACGTGCTCCTGTGACACTATTAAGAACTCTCCAACTGTAAAGTATCTAGGGATGGTATTAGATGAGAGACTTACTTTCAAGCAACACATTGACTATATGTCTGCCAGAGTAAGAAAACTTATTCCCACCATGAGAATCCTCAGAGACGTGATGGATCCATCCTTACTCCGAAATGTTTATGTCGCGCTGTGTCAGTCAGTACTTACTTATTGCATCCGAGTTTGGGGATCTACTGCTAAGATCATATTGCTGAAACTAGAAAGAGCTCAGCGTTCTATATTAAAGGTCATGTTCAAAAAAAAAAAAAAAAAAAGCCTTTTAGATATTCAACAGCTTCTTTATTTAATGACGCAAAGGTCTTAAGCGTTCGTAAACTGTATATTTTCAAAATTATAACTATTGGTCACAGCATAATCCAAAAGTCACTGAATAACCCTAAGGCTTCAAACAAGCGTTTTTACACTCTCCCTACACCTACTACTAAAACTAGTTTTGCCAGACGCTTCTCTTCTTGCATGATCCCATTCATATATAATAAATTTTGCAAAATTTACAATCTAAATAACTGTACCCTAAAAGAAACAAAATCAAAAGTAAGCGAACATCTGAAATCTATGAATTATGACGATACTGAAAATATGCTCTTGTTAAAGTTTGAAATATGGTCACATACATACAAAAAACACACACACACACACAAACACACACACACACACACACACACACACACACACACACACACACACACACACACACACACCACACACACACGCATGCACACACACTCATTCATAATACTTATTTATACATGTGTATTGGTGGTGAGAGAAAGAAAAATAAATAAATAAAATAATTGTATTATACAGATTAGTTACACAATTGTGAGTACTGCTAAAAAGCCTATGTTTAATATCTATATGCATGTATATGATAACACGAGTACTGCTTCCTACAGGACAGGCTCAGCCTAGTGTAGGAGGCAATGATAAATTCTGTGCTAATACAAACATACTTTGTTAAATAAATAAATAAATAAATAAATAAATAAATAAATATAAATAAATAATATATATATATATATATATATATATATATATATATATATATATATATATATATATATATATATATATATTGTAATCCAGACTGATGTTATTATGGTTTTATTATTGTCTACCAGAATGTAATGTAACGTTACATTGTCTGTTGTCTGCCGGCCCTGAGCACTTGTCATGACTACGTATCAGAGATTGCGCTGATTATGACATTAATGATAGATATGTTAATATCATGGACATGATAAGCGCGCGTCAGAAGCGTCTGCGTCACGCCGCGTCACAGAGCGTCGCTTTGCGTCACATTGTTACAATATCTATGTAAAGCAGTGACCGCAGGGCGTCGCGTTGATAACACGTATTCGCGATGACGGCGAATTATTTGGCGAATGAGGTCGGAGCGAGGCTGCGTCCTCGCGCGAGGCCGCGGCCGCGCCGTCCCGCGCGAGGACGTCCGCTGACCTTAAACTTGCGCCGATTGCCGCCGCGTGGCCTTTTTGCAAACTTCCGCATCGTGGATATCAGCGAAGATGTGCTCGTACCGGCCGCGCGGCGCGGCCTCGCTGCGTCACTCGTCACTAGCCGTCCGATCAGTATTTACGCACGTACAGCCGGCGGCGCTGTTTATTTACGTCGTGCAGTTATCGACGATAAATTATACCAATTATTGTTGGTACGGAAACTTGTTTTATACTATAATATGTTACACACGTGTATAAATATCAATAAATACTTTTTAGACAGTTATACGATCATGTTAAACAGTAATGCGTAATGTTCGCAGTAATTATAGATAGATAGATACTCTTTATTGTTTCCTCCAAAAGATTACAATAGTAAACTTATTATAAATATGAACTAAACTATATAATGAGAAAACAATGGGTGACCTTACCGCTAAGAGCGATCTCTTCCAGGCAACCTTTGGATGGAGAGGAGTAATTATAAACAATTTTATGGGAGGCACGATGAAAAATTCTGTTAGTTCTAAATATGAAAGATGGGATACATATAATAATATAAATATTATATATATAAATTAAATATTATATATATATATATATATATATATATATATATATATAATTCTCGTTGTGTTTTAGTCTGAAGAGTTAATGCTATACATATTTGATAGGGAAAGCGCTTCTGAGGAGTGGCGTTGTATGTTAGGAACTATGAATAGTGACTAGTTAGTAGAAAAAATAAGAAAAAAAAAAAATATATATATATATATATATAAATAAATAAAAATGAAACCAGTTTCTCAAACATACAAAATATATTTTATTTACATAATAATCACGTGATGGCACTCACTAACATAATATTCACCGGTCGATATAACTAATTAGACAATACAGTAACATATAATAACATTCATAACAACAGTATTATTACGAGTATATATGTATACAGGTTGATAATTTTGTTTGTTATTGCATCGTGTACAGTACAGTGGTAACTTATCATTGAAACTATCGACTGAGTTATAATAAACTTATAAGTATTTGTTAAAATCGTAATAATTATTGTTATAAAAAAAAAAAAAAAAAAAAAAAAAAAAAAAAAAAAAAAAAAAAAAAAAAAAAAAAAAAAAAAAAAAAAAAAAAAAAAAAAAAAAAAAAACAATATATATATATAGTAATTGTCATGTACATATGTAATTTATTTAAATGTAACAATATTAAATTATTTACATATACAATCATTTTTTGGACAATTTGACAATTATACATAAATGAACCGGATTACATTACCCACTTTCAGAAACATTTTTTTTTATGATAATAAATATGTACATGCATGGTGTATTAGTAGGGCCTAATTATGGAAATTACATGAAATCACACGCTCGTGGGTTTGTTGATGGTTTATGTTACACAATGGTGGCTAAACTATTAAAATGATATTGCCCGGGCGTAGCCACGGTCTGTAGTAGGTTATAAATAATTATTGTCAAAAATGACATTCTGATCATTTTAATATATATTTTAATGAATTACTGAAAACTTTTCGATGTGCGCGGAGCCAGTGAGCCAGCACACATATAATAGCTATAGGTAATCTGCGGGCGTAGCATTTCTATGTGTTCCATTTCGACGGCAAGGGGATACGTGGAGTGTGACGGACGGGCGTGCTCGACGGCGGTGCGGTGGGGAGGCGGTCAGAAGACCTCCTTGCGGAAGTGGAAGCCGAACTGGTCGCACTTGAGGCGCAGCGCGCGCGCCAGCTGCGGCGGCCCGCAGTAGAACACCGTCACCTTGCCCTTGCGCTGCTCCTGCAGCTGCTTGAACACCTTGTCCCAGTTGGGCCGGCCCGCGTTCGTGCGCGTTTTCAACCCCGTAATCAGGTCACGTTTCTCCTGGAAATATTAAGTGTTTCCATTATTGTATTGTATTGTACTGGCCATGTGGTCTCGACATAGAATAGGGCACCCCTTCCTATCTCATAAGTGTTGTAAGAGGCGGTTATAGTACATTACTGCAGCGGCCAGCAACTGAGGCATTGATAGACAAACGACAAAATGTGGGCCGAGGCGTAGACGAGGCACACTTACGTGAGTCCATCAATGCCTAGTTGTGGCCAAGGTTTGTATAGTACTATATTAGTAAAAAAAAAAAAAAAAAAAAAAAAAAAAAAAAAAAAAAAAAAAATAATAATAAATATATACCGTTTTTTTTTTTTTCAATATACAGCTTTCAACATTTGCAAGTCAGTTCGAAATTTAAATAAAATCTTTTATTAGTTACCTCCTTGGTAGCCATGTTTCGAAGTAAAGGATCATTCCATTTTTAAATTACAGGACAGATATGAGTTTACATAGTAATTTATTTGGCCGCAAAATACGACAGATATGGATTTTCATACAACTTTTGCCGGCCACTGCCCGCATGTATCTGGTCAGTATGGCAATTTTGATTTATCTCTAAGAAATCAAATATTGCTCACATTTCCAAGTATGTTTGAGAAAAAGTAACTTATGGTCAAGGGAAGGCAGCAGCGTCCCTCTTAATACATCACCAAAGGCCAACTGCGGTGCCAGTCCTCTTGCCCAACGTGCTAACTACTGGCAAAACTTCATTTATGGTGAAGGACTATGTTCAGTGAACAGTTAATGACCGATATAATAATAAAAAATCTGAAAAGCGTTTGTCTATCTGTAAGTTACCTACAGTCTACCTGTTAATACACTTTATGACATAGGATTTAATTGTATTTGATATAAATAATACCACAACTGTAATGACTTTCTCTACACAGTGATAATACTGTCAACCTGACAAATGTCAAGATTGACAGTATTATCACTCCAATGTGTGTGTGCGTGTGCGTGTATATGTGCGTGTGCGTATGCGTGTGCGTGTGAGTGTGTGTGTGTGCGCGCGTGTGGGTGTACCTTCTCGTGCAGCAGGTCGAGTGCGAGCTGCAGGCCGACGGCCTTCATGTCGGTGCGCTGTAGCGCGGACGTGATGTACATGTGCATGTCGAGGAAGCGCTCGGCGCCGCCCTGCTCCGCCTGCTCCATTTCCAGTTGTGACAGCAGCGACACGAACCACTCGAACGACCGCTGCTCGCGGTTTATCCAGAAAAAGTCCACCTGCAACGATATCGTTCGTACGCATTTGAAAACTAGATAACATCTCCATGCGGTGAGTTGCTGAGTAGCGGATTATAGGTAGATGTGTCACTGACTACTCCTTTACAACTCCAGGACACATCAGTGGAATAACCGAATTAAACTATGTATATACATAGCTGCAACGTGTCAAGGTCAGTGTGATAATAGTAGTGTTAGTTATGATGATGATGATGTAATATCGCGACTTGATCATGTGCAATGTTTGATGACATCATGAGTGAGATATGCATCCTATAAGCAAATATACACTGTCAAGTGATAGTAGTTATAGATCTCTGACAATAACTGTAATTTATTGTTACGTAATATGGTAAAGGAAAGGTGAGAAAAAAAAAATAAATAAATAAAATAAAAAAAAAAAAAAAAAAAAAAAAAAAAAAAAAAAGTCAGTCAAGTGCGAGTCCGGTTTGCGCAAACGAGGGTTTCGTACAAAATCATCAAGTTTATTTTACAGTTTTTGGATTTTTTCTGTACTTGTATATTGCTTCTTGTCAAATTTCATGACTTTATGTCAACGAGAAATTGGATTGGACTTGATACCTCCACGCGTTTTTAAGATAAAGGGTCTTGACGGACGGACGGAGGGGTAACGAAGAGATCCTATGAGGGTTCGGTTTTTTCCTTTTGAGGTACGGAACTCTAAACACGACTAAGATTATTTGAATATCTCTTGGGAGAGCAGGTGGAAGTGGGCGGCTGTACCTTGTTGAGGTTCATGTTGTGGTGCGGCAGGTCGTCGGCCCAGCGGTGGCTGCAGCGCGGGCAGACGCGGCGCGCGCTCCAGTAGCGGTACATGATGGCCTGCAGGATGGACGCGAACGGCGTCACGCCGATGCCGGCCGCCACCAGCGCCGCGTGCTGCGCCCGGAAGATGTGCGATGACGCCGCGCCGTACGGCCCGTCCAGGTAGATCTGATCACACCACACCAACGTCACTACTACTGCCTCTCCCCCTCACTAACTCATTAGCTTTTTACAGCTTACAACCAAGTGAGGAGACGAGACGAAAAAGAAGCTTGAATTGGGGGGAAAGATATTATTAGTAATGGGGTTTAACAGTTCCCATGCTAGCAGTATACTCTATAAGATCGAATTCCATGCGGTTCCCCTTGGAAACCATCGTGGTAAATTTTTGTTGCATTTGTCACAATGGGCTAACTGATCCGCTTTCGTCCTCACCTATCATCACTTACTAGTGCCCCGTCAGTATATATTTTTTATTTTACTTTGAAAGGGAAACATACAATACCTAAGACATATAAAATAGTACACACAACCATAACATAAATCAGTACAATTTCCACAATAATATATTGACAGGGTACCAGTAAGTCTAATAAGCAAGTAACTGACCAAAAAAAAAAAAAAAAAAAAAAAAAAAAAAAAAAAAAAAAAAAAAAAAAAAAAAAAAAAAAAAAAAAAAAAAGTTTAAATAGCTTACTTCCAAAGGTTTTCCGATAGGATAGTCGGCAAATTCTTCATCTATCGTCTGAGTAGGGCCGTCGACCTCCGGAGACGGCTTCTCCGCCTCTATGTCTTTATCAGGAGACAGACTCTTCGAAAGGCGTCTTCTAGCTGTCAATAACAATATATTGTGTTATTTTTATTAATTATATCTATCGTGTAGGTAAAAGTATAACGAAGGTGTCTAGAAATTCTTGATAAGAGAACACCAATCACGTGATATTAGTAGTGGAACGGAGTAGAAATATATTTATTGGCCGAAAAATATAAGTAAAACATTTACAGTTGATGAGCCAATTTTCTTTATTTTAATAGTTCGAAAAGAAAGCAATTGATTACTGGTAAAAAGGTTATCGAGTGGCGTCCCTGTAGAAATAGAAACAAATATTTGACGTAGTACTATGACGACGATTCGGTAAGACGGATGACGTATTACCGAATCAAGGATGCGGGTATTTACGGTCGTATTTTGAGGCGAATTGTGTTAGAGACTAATGTTCAGCAGTGGACAATGAATGTATTGAGTTATGAATGCGTCGATCGGTTCTCGATTGACTCGGACGCTGTCTATCGGCCAGAGTGGTGTGCGTGTGTGCGCGTGCGAGTGCGTGTGCGCATGTGCGAGGAGCGTCACCGAGCGTGAGTATGCTGTCGTTGCTGCGGCGGCGCTCGCAGTGCTCGTAGCTGGGCGTCTTGAAGGCGACGACGGCGGGCTTGTGGCGCATGTAGCGGAAGCTGTGCGCGAGCGCGCGGTTGTGCGGCGCGCCGCGCGAGGCCGCGCCGTGCGCGCGCTGCACCTCGCACGGCTCCAGCCGGCTCTCCGACTCCGAGCGCATGTAGTCGCGGAGCCTGCGCCGCCGACACAAACACACTGCACTCTCAGCTTATGAAAGACACTAATTTGCATTTACTAGTGGACTAGGTGGAACACTGTAATAAATGCGAAATGTAATACAGTGAAAAATTGTTCTCCATTGTAGTAGCGAGCAAGAAGCTGACAGAGAACGTACGCAATTTGTCGTTGTTTATAGGCGGAGTTGTTGTACACGTCGGGCATCGAGTGCGTCTTGTGGAAGCGCAGCGGCGTCAGCAACGACGAGCCGCGGAAGCCGCCCGTGACTGGTGCCAGCGTTTCTGGCAAATATAAAAGGGTGACCGAATTTATTGATTATCTTTTTTTTTTAATAATCTGCAAGGAAAAGTCTTTTTTTATACAACTTAGAATGGCAAACAAGCTGACGGCCCACCTGATGGAAAGTGATAACCGTCGCCTATAGACATGAGCAATACCATGGACATAAGAGACTGTATACTATTTCGCCCATGATACCGATGTTATTACTTTGTACCCTGTAAATTCACGCCATATCCCACCCTTCAAACGGAAACACAGCCATGCAAACACTACTGCTTCACGGTAGAAACACGTATGGGACAGAGGTACCCAAGCAATCGAGTCTATTGAAAATTAGATAACAAAAATTAATGGTATCTTATTTAGTTATAAAAAAAAAAAAAAAAAAAAAAAACACTAGTGTTTTGCTTTGGAATTACGGATATTAATGTAATATATGCGATAAAATTACAGAAAACACCCTTTTAGATATTTGATGTCTTACAAGAAGCTGACGACTCTATTGTGGATTTTGAACACTTTCTTATTTTTAAATGTTACATAATATGAGCATTATTTACAACATTTGTAAAAGATTTGGGGCAAATAAATATCAATGTTTTATGAGTATTATAAAGAAAGAAAATGAATACAAAATAAAGAAAGAAAATAGAAGGGATGAGATCTTTAATTTAGAATTGTTTCAGGACGAGGTAATATTATTCTGTATGTGTACTAACTTTTAATTTCCCCTTTAGCGGTGTCGGTGTCGCCTTCAAAGGCGTCGTTGGTGTGTCCGAGCGGCGCAAAGTCGACGGAGCGCTTCTTGTCGCTGCTGGTGGTGCTCCCGCGCTTGCTACGTCTGCTAGCGCCCGACATGCTGCGCCGTAGCGGGCTGTGGCTGTACAATAACTTTGTTAGTATGTTGTGATTGGTGCGACATCAATCGGGAACATGCACAGATATGCGTGTGTTGTGGATGTTCACACACAGTCACACACACACGCGTACGACAGCATGCAAGTAATAATGCACACACGGAAGCACACACACACACACACGGAAGCACGCACACACATACGGTCGCACGCACACACACACACACACATGCACGCACTCACACACATACGCACGCATACACACACACGCTCGCACTCACACATACACACATACACGCGCATACACAAGCACGCACACTCACTTACACACACACACATACACGTACGCGCACGCACGTGCACGCACGCACACACATTCACACGCACACACATACACGCACGCACACTCACACACACATACATGCACGCATTTGAACGCACACACGAATGCACACATGCACACGCGCGCACACACGCTCATATAGACATATTACATTGAAAATATTTGAATTCAGAACGTGGTATCGCATATTTATATACAGATTTTGCACTGCAACAAACAAAAATAGGTGTGGTAGGGTATTAAGTACCGAGTGATGGTGTACGTACTTGCGGTCGGCGGGCGCGACGGCGGCGGGCGGCGGCGCATGAAGGCGCGCGTGCTCACGCTCGAAATACGAGTACAGGCGGTTGGTCCACTCGCCCACACCGCGGATGTGCAGCCAGATATAGTCTGAATGGACGCAAACACGTAAAGATATATAATAAACATTACATATAAGTCGAGTTTATTAGTTATTATCATAATGAGGTTTTGCTGCAATCTGCCCCCGTTCAAAATAATTACTGTCAATTTTCGTTCATGATTTAGTGTTACGGTTCAGCTTGCTCCTTTTTCCGTCATTTATGCTTTACTGCTGAATGTAGTGCTTCTCTGTAAGTTGCTAGACAATACCTTAGCAAGCCTCAGATATCTGTAGATATATAAAATAAGCGACAGTGTCCCCTCTATCTAGTAATGGATATCATTACAGTGTGTTTGATGAAAACTGGGTTTTCATAGACAAGCTCAAATTATAAAAAAAAATCCAAGAAGTTCTTTATAATATATCATATGTGATCACGAAGAAAACAATTTATACATTAATTTTTAATTCTTTTGAGTTTGAAATTTGGTCGAGTATTTAAGTAGTGTAATTGAACAATACCTGGTTGATCAGGCGCGCTGCTGATGGTGAACGGGTGCCACTCGTATTTTGCGATAGCTGGTATATTAACAAACACATAATCGCCGGCGTGGAAGTCAAAAAGGGGCGGCCTCTTCACCACTAGGTGTGTCACCCGCGACGGCAGCAGTATACCGGAAGATATGTAGGTGTTGCCGCGCTCTGATCTGTGGCAACGTCTCTCTTAACTAGTGACACTCGTCTGCTGAAAAGTACTCCTAGTATCCATCGTCGACAGATATACCCGTAAATCATGCACTTTATAAAATACGATGTGACATGTTATGATTTCCCTTAAGTGTGAGTTGTTATTACTCAAGCCTAGAATAACTTCTGGACCCCGTAATTTCACCATCACATATTTTACAATATAAACTTGACTAAAAGACTCGTGCAGATGAAGTGAAATGAAATTTCCTGTATGTTCGTTATAGAAACAAAAACTACTTGTCGGATTTTAACGAAACTTGGTACAATTATTCTTCATACTCCTGGGTAGGTTATAGTATACTTTTCATCACGCTACGATCAATAGGAGCAGAGCAGTGAAGGGAAATGTTGGGAAAACGGGATAAGTTACTCCATTTTTAAGCTTCCGTCGCGTGTGCAGTCTTAATGGCCACTTTTTAAAATGTAAAAATGTCCACCCGTGCAAAGCCGGGACGGGCCACTAGTCAATAATAAAAATAACATTTAAATACGATACGCACTTTAACCAAGCGAGCCGAATGATCCTCTCTGCGACGTATATCGTGCCAGGCACCACAAACCACTTCCAAAAGTTGGGCCCGTGGAATATCAACAGCAGCCAGAACGGTACGTACAGCAAGTGAGTCCAGTAAAATACCTGTAACATGGTAACAGGACAAAAAGTTATATTCAAAGAATGAAAAGGCAATGATTGTAGTACGATTTAGTAACCGTAGTTGATTCATGATTTCTAATATTACACTCTACAATTTGAGTATGAAATAAAAGAAATAATTGTTCGGTCTGCATTTTTACTTGCGTAAAAATGTGGGGTATTGCAGTGACCTTGACATAAAATGGGTTACTTTTTTTTCCGTGAATGTAGTAAGAGGTAATGGTCGACATCGACACATCAAAGCTCAACTAAGGTTGCCATCCCGCCTGTCAAGCGTGGCAATTACTAAAAAAATCTATTAGATTTGGCTGTATTAGAATTAAAAATATTTATGGATAAGAAATAAGGATTGTTGTAAAAAAAAAGGGGTTTAGAAAAACACAGTAGGTACTATATACATATCAGTGTACAACAGACAGGATTAAAAAAAAAAATATATAACAAGTCGTCATGATAGCATGTTAACAGTAGTTTTATAGTCTATACTTTGAGTTGTGTTTAACAATGAGAGAATGAAGTGTATTTAAGTTTACGGAGTCGGTCAGTTGCTAACCTCGAAACTGCCTCCGCGTCGTATGAAGGGCTGACTGCACACATACATGACGAGGAGGATGACCAGTAGAGCGAAGCCGGTTGGGTTGGCGCAACCTGCCACCAGCCCAAACCTGCCTGGACGCTCAGTCAGCAACCATTCATACAGAGTGAAGTTCTTTGCGTTTATATTTGGGTCATTAACTACTATTAAACCTATAAGGAAACAAAGATTTATGCATTTATAATATGTAGTAATACGTATTAGCTCTTTATCATGACTTTGTTTGTATCAACAATAAATTCGATACTGTTATATCCTTGGTACTGCTCATGTCTATAGGCGATGGCTACTACTTTCCATCAGCCATCAGTGGGCCGTCAGCTTGTTTGCCATTCTAAGTTACAAAAAATTGAGTAGAGACTTTAGTTTCCCACTCTACATAGGTTTTATTGACTTCCGAAAGGCCTTTGGCATAGTAAATTTAGGTACAAACTATGGAACGTACTTAAAACTATGGGTACCTCCCCGCACTTGATTTGTCTAATACGTCAGCAGTATGTCGTTGGAACTGATTCGATAGTGTTAAAATAAAAAAAAAAAAAAAAATAAAAAAATCCATGTTCGACAGGATTACATTCTTTCGCGGCTATTGTTCAATACATATACAGAATGCATTATGAGACTAGTGTTTGACGAATGGGATAAAGACGTCTCGATTGAGGGTCGACAGGTGTCAGGTGTGTAACTTGAGATACGTTGATGATACTCTTCTTACGCAATCAGAGAAAGATACGGAATTATTTTTGAGACGCCTAGAGACTGTAAGCCTCTCCTTGATTCGAAATCATTAGAACAAAAACCATGATTGTGAACAGAGCTGAACATAATAAACTTGAAATAACGACTATATATATACTTTGGCTCCACAATTACAAATACTGGGGGATTTGAAGACAAAATAAGATGTGTTATTACAAGAAGAAGGTGGAGTAATCGATCGTAAACTTTAGTGTTACAGATACACGGTGAACTCACTGAAATTACACAGGTGCATGGCTGTGTGTAGAAGGCTGTAGAGCAAGATGAGCACGCCGGTGAGCTTGTGCAGGTAGATGTGGTGGTCGAGCGGCAGCAGCGCGCCCGCGCCGCGCACGCGCAGCTGCGTCATGCAGCGCCGCAGCATCAGCACCAACACCCACGCGCAGTTGAAGTTCAGGCACTGGCCTGCCGCCAATCAATGGCATTACGAACTTGTTACATATGACTTTATTTTTACCGATCGCAGTCACTTCGAAATCATGTTACGCGACATATTGGCGATTTATAAACCGTATTTAGATTGTTTTTTAAATGAAGCAGTGAGATTACTATGGTTCATTATCAAATCTAGAAATTTTATTTCAAATTATCTTTAATTACAAAATTATCAACAAAAACCATAAATCTCGATCCCATCTATTATTTCTTGTCCGATTTTGTTTACCGACCAATCACTTTAACAAAAAAATTTGTATGTTACACATAATCTTCGCCAAAATAAAATCTATTTCGATAATTTAGGCATTAATGGGCTATATAGATAAATAAAAGTCTCTCACCGCAAGCCCGAGCTAGCATCGTGAAGACGCCGGCGGACCAGTACTCCTGCAGCCTGCTGACGAAGAGGCCGACATTGACGAGCGTGAACAGCAACAGATAAATAAGGAACACGTAGTTGTTCTTGAAGTACGGCAGCGACAGCTGGTAAGGCTTCAGCTTCTGCAGCCGCTGCCTTACAGATATCCTTTCTGGCTCTGGTTTTGGCGGTATCAGCCACCGATCTATACTGTAACATGTACGTATATTGTATTTTATTTAACATGATTTATAACAGTATTATAATTTTATTTGTGTTCATGATCACATAAACGACTGTTACCAATGTTTATCAGGTGCGCCATCAGTTTGTTTATGATTTCAAGTAGCATTAAAAAGCCGATCCGTACCTGATGGAGAGGTTCTCGAGGAGCCCGTCGTGCTTGGTGAGCTGATGCCGCAGCGCCTCGTAGGTGATGGCGCCGCGCTGCTCGGTGTCCGCGTCTTCGAACATGGCGCGCGTCAGCTGCTGCAGCTGCTCATCGCTGAACTGCATGCCGTTCTCCTCCATGCACGCCCACATCACGTGCTGCAGCTCGCGCTGTTGGATTAGCCCGTCGCCTGGACACATGCATGTTTCTTTAAACATTTTTATTGTATATAAAAAAAAAAGAGAACAGTAGGAACAATCAACCACTTGATGGTAAGCGTGAATATTGTGAATTGACCGATATATTTTATGTATTCATTTGAACAGTTTGATGAACTTTTTTTTTTATATAAAGGGCACGTGAGCGCACCATCCATATCGTAGACCTCGAAGAGGAAGCGCATCTTGTCGTCGGGCGAGTGGCCGGCGAAGCGGTGCGCGGCCGCGATGAACTCCTGCAGCGAGATGGCGCCCGAGTTGTCCTCGTCGAAGATTTGGAACACGCGCTCCGTGAAGAATGACTGCGAAGCGTGCACACACCATCATGTCAATAATAATATTGTGTCCAACTACCTACGTGGTATCTACCTATACAGTATCCTTTCAACCGACAACAAAAAGGAAGAAATTAAATCTGTTATTATTTTTTTTTCAAAACTTTTAAAAGATTTTAGAAAAAAAATTTAAATGTCATAAACTAATGATAAATTTAAACTAAAAGGAACATAAGACTAGAATGAAGTGGGTTTTGTTAAAAGAATTAAATAAATAAATATATTTATTGGTTTCTGAAATTATTTAATTTATTATTTAAATTAATTTAATTCGGAGTTAGTAATAAGTGGAGCATGTTATTCATGTGAAGCTGCTTACAACTTGTCACCACTACGTTACACGTGTACACGGATCACTTACGTTTTTGGAGTCTACGATATTGCGGAACTGCTCCTTGGTGATCTCCTTTTGGTCGCCGACGGTCTGCCGGAACAGCTGCTCGAGCCGGTCCACGCTGTTCTTGTCGAATCCTGCCCGAGGTCTGTATTGTAACAATAACATAACATTTGGGACTAATATTATATAGCATTCTTTTTTATATAGAAAATGTATGATTGATTTAGTCCACTCGATGGTAAGCAGTTAACGCTGGCCATGAACGTATGGTTGATGCTGAGGCTCGTGCCTTGTTGATTCACATGATGATGAGTTACAGTCATTAGTAACTTTCTGTCATTATTGTTTATTAAATTGGAATGAAGCAGACTAGTTGCTTGATCGCAAATGTATCTGAGATAACGGAGGCACAGATATTGCCATTCAAAAATGGTCTCTTGTGTCTCCATAGAATACTATTGAGTTGGTGATGAAAAAGGATGAAGATGATGATTGCTTGGATTACAAGTATTGCAAGAATAATACGGCGATCTCCAATTGAAACGACATTCCGCGATGTATTATATGTATGTATATAAATGCTATTATATAGGGCAGGGATTGGCGACCGGTCGATCGCGACTACTAATCCAGTCTATCGTGGCGAGGCAAACAATATAATACGAGTATTTTGTAATCTAGCGGAAGATGCTCAGACGCAATGCTCACACTAAGAATATTTTTTTAATTTTACGCTTTCCCTGTTAATTAATTAAAATAATACTACAATATTGGGGGGAGTAGCGATTGTTAGTAATGCTGATTAGTAGCCCCGTCGCTAGCAATATACCCTGTCAGGTCGTGGTTTCCCCTGGAAACCATCGTGCTTGATTTATTGTTAGATTCATCACGGTAGGCTAACTGACTTGCTTCATCCTCACCTATCATCCCTCACTGGTGCCCCGCCGGTGTATGCCGATAGCGCAGGCGGGGTTACCATTGCATTATCATTCATTAAAAAAAAAAATACTAGAATACTACATAATTGTGTAGTGAACTATGTTGTTTCATTTGTGATTTCAAAAAGTATGTAATTGATAGATCGCAAAGGGTTTCGTCAGTAAACAGTAGATCTCGAGTGTAGTCAAGTGGATGACCTGGTGGTATACGGACAGTTCGTTTATTTAAATCCATTATTAGGTTCTGCGTGGATATTCATGTGTGACATCCCGTATGGTACGCACGGGACTGTGGTGCAAACTATCCATGGACCATCCCGCATCCAGTGTCGATACTGTGTGAATGTAGTTACCTGCTGCTGGTGACGGCCGACAGAAACTCCATGATCTCGTCCGCAGTCACGTAACCGTCGCCGTCCGCGTCCACAACTTTCAGTAGCTTGTTTGTTACCTACAATAATGAAATGAGTTCTAATGAGTACGTACTGGTATATATCATCAGTAATGTGATAGTTCAAGTACGTCAGCAGTATCGTAGGTAACATGTGTACCATATGAAGTAATACGGTGAGCAGAGATCACACCAAGTGTTGCTAAGTATCTAGATATTGGACACATTCAATTGTTTATTGAACTTTAATACACCAGCGGGAGACTTTGTACAAAAGTCGTTTGCTTGGCCACCTCTGTGTCATAGACATGAGTGTCTATAGGCGACGGTTACCACTTTACATCAGCTTGTTTGCCATTCTAAGTTGTATAAAAAAAAAATAATAATACATGTACAATACCATATGACGTTATCTGCCACACAAGCGTAGATAGGAATGACAGAAAGTATAATTAAAGTAATGGTGTAATTGAATAGGCAAGTGTAACAGAAAAATATAGGGTATTTATATATCACATATGGGCCGTGTGGTCCCGGCATAGAATAGGTCACGCCTTCCTTTCACGCAGGTGTCGTAAGAGGCGACTAAAGGGAGGCGAAGAATGGGCAACAGCATCCTTCTTAAAAAAAAATCTCGAAAACCTGATTGTGGTTGCCAATCCGCTTGCCAAGCGTGGCAACTACTGGCAAAACCTCCCAAGGGGGAGTCTTATGGTCAGTAGTGGACTGATATGATGATGATGATGATATGCCACATGTGATACACATGATCCTCAATCAGCCATGTCTTTGTTAAGCCGCAACTGTCAGCCAGCGAGGTGAGTACGTACCACTTTGTTCTGCAGCACGGTGCGGAAGGTCCGCGGCGTGACGTGCCCGTGGCCGCACACCACGTACGCCACGCTCTCCACCTGCTCCACGAAGTCCAGCTGCTTGTCATCGCTGCACACCAACACAATCAACACAAGTTACACATAACATACACACACATACACACATTTAGAAATAGTAATCATATATACATCATAAGTGCATTGATAAAACATAGTGTGTGCATGAAGACGAGAGAAATTTTATGAGTACACAATTTACCCTTACTTTGCCGCGTTTGTTCAGATTTTTAGGTCGGAGATACAAGCCTTGACACATACATTATTATACTATAATAAAGGGATCCTAATAATATAATACACGGTCGTGTGGTCCCGGCATAGAATAGACCATTTCTTTCTTTCCCGTGGGTGTCGTAAGAGACATAAGGGAGGGCGAGGGATTGGTAGCAGCATCCCTCTTAAAACATCTCCAAAGCCTAAATGCGGTTGCCAACCCGCCTGCCAAGCGTGGCAATTACTGGCAAAACCCCCCCTAAGTATGATTTGAGAATCTACTTTTAGAGGTCCCTTAAAAAAATAGAATATGTAATTAGTTAGATAAATTAGAGCAAATCACGGAAACTATATCATTACTTGACCTAATATTTAATAAAAAAAATATTTTAGTATTTCACAACTTTAGTTGATAGACCTTAACACGACTTACGTGAGACGCTGCTTGAGGAACTCGAGCCAGTCGTCCTGCACCAGGTACTCCTTTCTGTCCACGTCAAATAACCTGAAGATCCTCTCCAGCAAGTCCTGCATAAACACAACGAGCACTGGTGAAAAAAAAACAACACTTGATTTGCGCTAAACACAACACTTTTAAGTCCAATATGGAGGGCAGCCGTTGTGTGCACGGAATTATTGTCTACCCGCGTAATAAGGATATTTTTGTTTATGTTGGTAAACAAATGTAATGCAGGTATGGTACAATTTAACGACATATGCTCAATCTTGCTGGTTACTCTGTTTGACTCATAGATTGTTAGTTGCTCTTTTATTACAGTTAATTGTATGATATAGTAATATTTTTTGTATTTATTTTTGTATATATTTATTATGTGTATATATTTGTTTATTTAATATATTATATGTATGTTTATATTAGTCTAATTATATGTTTATAATATATGAATATAAAAGTATTGCTTTATTTTTCCTCTATTCAATAATGCACCGCCTACTTATTTCTCTGTGCGCCCAATGGTTGACTGGTAGAGAACACCGTCCGGTGTTCATTCCGCCAAATGTACATAGAATTTTACTGTTAGTTAAAGTTTAAATAAATAAATATGCGATGAACAAGTATTTAGCTTGAAAGTGTTGATATATTTTATATACCTAATAAAAAAGTCACTTCAAGTTATTTATTAATGCTAGCAACAAAATTAGAAGTAGAATTTAATTATTATTGTAAATTGCAACAATTAGCGTAATTTAATATGCACAATTAATTTTAAAGTTATTATCCGTTCGCTACTGAACACAGACCTCCCTCATACACTGTCATTAAGAACGATCCTGGGCCACCTGCATCCACCGAGTCCTCGCAATGCATTTGAAGTCGTCACTCCATCCAGTGGAGAGTCGTGCTACACTGCGTTTTCCAGTACGGGGTCGCCACTCAAGAAACTTTTTCCCCTATCGGTTGTCGGTTCTTCGAACTATGCGACAAGCCCATTGCCACTTTAGCTTACTTATCCTTCTAATATATAAATTCTAATATCTAAAATAGGGGGAAAGGGATTGTTAGTAATGAGGTCTAACTGACCCATTGCTAGCAATACACTTAACTAGGTTGACTTCCACGTGGTTCCCCTTTAAAATAAACGTGGTTAATTTTAGCTGAATTCGTCACGATGGGCTAAGTGACCTGTTTTCATCGTCACCTATCACCGCTCACTGGTGCCTCTCCACCGTATACCGATAGATTCCATTATCACCCATTAAAAATATCTAAAATAAGGGGGCTGGGGGTAAGGATTGTTAGTTATATGGAGTACCAGTCCTATGGCTAGCAATATACCCTGGCAGGTCGACCTCCATGTGGTCCCCCCTGTAAACCATCGTGCTGAATTCCAGGTGTTTTCATCATGATGGGCTAACTGGCCTGCCCTTTCATTCTCACTTATGCTCCGCCAGCATATATCGTTAGCGCAGGCGGGGTTACCATCCATTATTATCCTAAAAAAATCTAAAATAAGGGTTATTGCACATTATGTTTTACCCCTGGTTATTAAACAACGTAGGCGCTGTCAATTTTAATATTCTCAACTTGAGTGTTGACATTAAATATTTTAATATAAGTAATTACGCAGTATCATTTTAAAGATGTGAGAGCACGTGAGGGATCGGGTAATGAGTTGATGACACAGCTTATTGTATCAATTTGTCTTTCCACTCGCGTGGAGTGGAGATGTTATCATGTGCATATGAACGTCGGCGGGTGTGCGCTGTGCGCTGCGCGCTGCGAGCAAAAAAATAGGACCAATACGGGAGTAAACCTTATGGTAGACAAGAAAAAAATATTTAAATTAGTTTAGAATAGAAAAGTATATCGCGCAACATACGGACACAAAAAAAAAAATAAAAAAAAAACTAATTCAGAACCTCGCTGGATAGTTGCAAACCATTGTTTAAAGAAATAAAGGTTTTATCGTTACTGGCTCTTTACACATATGACATTTGCTTGTTTTTTTTTTTTGATGGGTGAAAATGGTATGGTAACCCCGCCTGCGCTAACGGGATGCGCTGGCGGAGCACCAGTGAAGGGTGATAGATGAGAATGAAAACAGGCCAGTTAGCCCATCATGATGAATTCATCAGGAATTAACCATGATAGTTTCCAGGGGGAACTGCGAGGAGGTCGACCTGGTTGGGTATATTGCTAGCAATGGGATTCTCAGTCTCCATGACTAACAATCCCTATTCACCCACATTTGCTTGTTTCTTCGAAAACATATTGAATTATTTGTAATTAAATCCACAAATAGAAGTCATTGACTTCAAAATAAATTAGCAATACTGACATAGATGCTTAACATGTTTTAAAGAAATTGTTATTGCATAGCTATTAAAAATATACAATAAATTGTTTGACAAAATAAATTTTTTGACCTACGCCTGTTTTAAAAGTAGATTATTTGATTACCTAATTAATAACTGTTTCTATTTTGTAAGAAACTTTAAATAAGTGTAATTTATGACACTGCTTGACACTGTAAAAAAACTTAATATGACTTGTTATTAATAATTGTAATTTAAAGTAATCACTTTTGTTAATGTTATTTCTTACCATTATGACTGAATTATTTTAGTAATTGTAACAGTAACAGAACATTACACACATCTATTATTATCAAGATCTGCTGCTGGCAATTACCAATATTCAGTAAATAAGTATTCATTCATTTATTCTCAATGTTGGAATCACTTCATATGCGTTTATGCGACCAATACGAAGCGAACTCGGAAAATATTTTGTAATGTCCGGCAACTGAGTATACGATGCTTATAATGATTAAAAATGTAACAGAATGTAGATAATAATTTACAGAGTACAGAGGAATAACACCTGAGTCCTCAGGAATGGCAACGCATGGGGGGTATCATGGGCGAAACAGTATACTCTGTTATGTCCATGGTACTGCTCATGTCTATAGGCGACGGTTACCACTTTCCATCAGGTGGGCCGTCAGTTTGTTTGCCATTCTAAGTTGTATAAAAAAAATATTGCCTGGCATTTACAAAGAAAAAGAATATGCATTCTTGAAATCGGACGAAATAAATATTTATATGATTACGAATAATTTCACTAAATGTAACTCGCAATACGTAGCTCGTGTAATGAAAACGAATGATCCTAGATCCGTGCGTAGGCGTCTCTCTGTGTTGGTATGCATTTTATTAATTGCTCGAGTGCAGCGGCGCGCGTGTTCTCCAAGTACCGATATGTAAATTAATTTGTTGATTGATTGGCAGGTGATTGGTTAATTTGGTCCGCGCGCCGTGGTGGGCAATTATTTAGTAATTACTGCGCCGGTCGCCAGGTTCACAGCTCGCGGCCTGGCGGTGTTGTATAACTGTCTCGCTGCCTCTCGTATGCCTGCTATCTCTGCTGGCGAAATATACGTACGAATTGTATATCTACTTGGATGTGCCTGTATCTATTGGGGCTCTGGTGAATTAAATTGCTAGACAGATTTATAATTCTAATGACATTATATATTTTTTTTGTGATAACAAGTACAGTTTCATAATCAGTAATTAGAACTGTTATTTTACCAATGAGCTGTAGTACTATTCTGTAAAGTTAAACTAGTGGCTCCGCGAATATTTTACAATTGGTATTCTGTAAACAAGTAAGATCGATGACAGCACCATCTCGTTAAGGCGGCGACGTAATGAATTATAGTAAGTGTGCTACCGTCCTTAGGATCTTAGTTTTCAAAATGTATTTTACTTTACTTATCGCTGATAAAGCTTATGGAATATAAAAATTAGATAAAGTGAGCATATTGCTGAAATGAAAATGAAATGAGGTGCGAAGGAAACTGCGAAATTTTGTAGAATAGTATTGCTAGTCATTTATTTAGTATGCTCGTCCGAGAATCGAATCTTGAGCTTGGTATAGTTTGCGCCGCTGCATTAGTTCATTGAGAGCACAGATAATTGTAATATTATACTTCTAGTTGAGAGTAAATTAATAATAAACAAGCAGAAGGAGAGAGTCGTGCAGGTATACGATATCATCACAGGAGCCACGTGAGCGGGTGTTGCCACGGTGCCATGGTGGCACGCCGCCGCGCGGCAGTCGATGGTCGTCGCCGCGCCACAGAATAGAGGATACGCAGAAAATATGATACTAGGCAATATGATGGGGCAAGAACACTATTACAAGCAAGCGATGCTCATGTGCGTAGGACGCGAATAGACGAAAATCCCTTTCCCCCATGTACATGACGCTAATCATCGACGATTAGCGTCATGTACATGGGGGAAAGGGATTGTTAGTTATGGGTTCTAACAGACCTAGCAATATAGTCAACCTTCCCTGGAAACGATCGTGGTTAATTCTTGTCGAATTCTTCCCGATGGACTGACTGGCCTGCTTTCATCCTCACCTATCATTTATCACTGATGCTTCACCAGCGTATACCGATAGCGCAGGCGGGGTTACCATTCCATTATCACCTATTAAAAAAAAATCGTCATGTACCAGCCACTTCGGAATAATTCGATTTACTCTAGCTCGCGCAGTGTCACAAATCGAGGGTTATACGACGCACGTCGACACATCAAAAGAGCTTTCCTTCTTGGTATTCTCTACTCTGTGAGTGCGCCGTGTGTATGTGCATTGTGCACAGCGCGCGTGCAGCAGCCAGCGCGGTGCGCCTGCGCCGCTCGTGACAACCAGATTATATTTTGATAGACGCGTTATTGTATGTATTATTGCGTGCCACTTGCCACTCAATGTCGAACGACGAGTATGGCTTATTCAGGACATAGTCAATGTTTGTTTCATATGAACACAGTCACACGTTGTGTTGTATATTATAATGCAATTTGAATTATGTTGACGATATGCAGTAGTGTTCATCATCATCATCATCTTCCCACCCTTATTCCTATTATTATTTGGGGCCATGCTAAAATGTATTTCTCTTCCATTCTTCTTTTTCTTGATATGCAGTAGCGTTAGTTACTTTTTGACGCATTAATCGCTGAAAATCGTCACGAAATTTGGCATATATATATTGTTTAGATTGGAGAAAAACGTACATATATGTTATTTTATCTCGGTCATTAAATATATCCCGGTAATGCGAACGAAGCCGCGAGTAAAAACTAATTTCTTATAAAAAAAT